TTTTTTAAAACAGATCATCTACTTATCTATATATTGAAATAATAAATCAATGTGAAAATGACCCATAGGTCCTACATAAATAAATTGAATACAAAAATGTCCAAAAAGAATCATATTTATAAGCCAAACTTAACAAATATTCATATGTACTTATAAAATTTATTCACAGTTAAAAACTTGTAGAAAAGTATACTTGTTAGAACTTCTCTATATTTAATTTTCTTACGATGTGTGGGTAGTAATTTTCCCTAAATTTAATAATCATATTGTCTATTTCTCATATTTATTTTGTGTTTGGAGATACTTAAATTTCATGTGGTTCCAAAACACAGTTTTGTTGGAGGCAGTTCACAAAACGTGGTTTAAAGTGGACACAGTTATGAATCAAAGTATGCATCGATGGTTCTGTGGACACTTATGGTTTAAAGTAGTCTACAGGTACCATGTGGAAGCTGCCTCAACAAGATTGGATACGCTAAGAGATATTGGTAGTCCTATCAATCAAAGTGGTCTAAGGAAGTGTTTGAATGAAATCAAATCATGATTTGGAGAATAGCTTCTGAAAAATAGATTTTGGGAGAATAGATTTTGTGAAGAAGTGATTCTGATAAAGTCAGAGTGTTTGGATAGTTGTTATCAGAAGCACTTTTTATATGTACAAATTATTAAAAAAAGCATAAGTTAATATAATAATTACATAAAAAATAGATTTTATAATATATTTTAATTTGAAAGAATAAAATTGTTAATAATATATTTTTGACTAACACAATTAATAATAGGGATAATTAATCTCCAGGTACTTATAGTTTCATCTGATTTTTAATTAGGTCCTTATAAATTTTTTTCTTTTTATCAGCTCCTTTTACTTTCGTGTGTTTTTAATTAGGTCCTTCTATTTTTTTTTCTTTTTATCAGGTCCTTATAGTTTCACTTATTTTTTTAATTAGGTGCTTTGTAGTTTTTAAAAAATTATTTATTAACTTTATTCTTTAAAATTAATTTCATTTTTAAATTAATAATTATATAATTGGAAAAAATAATTAATATAATCATTTAGTAATTAATAAATAATCAGAATAATAATTATACTTAAATATAAATTATTTATAATCATATTTTAATTTTATAAAAATTTATTATTATAATTTGAATTTTATAATTATAAAAATTCGAATTGAAAATAAATAATATATTTGTTTAACTAAAAATTTAAAAGAATATTAACATAAGATTGTTACAATAATTTATTATTTTTAAAATGTTATTATTTGTAAAATAAAAAATAAAAACTACAAGGACCTAATTAAAAACAAAGTAAAACAATAAGGATCTGATAAAAAGAAAAAAAATTATAAGGACTAGAATAAAAATATATGAAAGTATAAGGACCTGATAAAAAGAAAAAAAATTATAGAAACTTGATTAAAAACCAGTTGAAACTATAAGGACTTATATATTAATTATCCCTTAATAATATATAAGATAATATAATTAATAAATAATTAATATGTGTATATATATTTCTAAAATGTAAGATTAAATATGTTTATAGAAAAATAATCGAGAGGTCTTAAAGTCATATTACTGTTGGGATCTACTCTGAGAGGCAAAATTATACTCTCTAATTTGAGTCAAAAATAGAATGAATTCACTTCTTATGAAAACATGATTTTAAGCTCAAAACCATGGTTTTATACCAAAACCGTGATTTTGCTCTAAAACCGTGGTTTGTTGATTTTCCTCCCAGTTTACCAAATTTTTGACTCAAATCATGATTTGGGTCATTTGCCAAACAGGCCCTAAGACTTCTGCTACTTGTGATCTTCTTCGGGTTTATCAAAAAGCTACGAGAATGTTTAGATTGTCGCTGCCTCGCTGGCATAGGAAAAAGCACAGTGCATCCTTCAAAAGCCACGGTGAACATTGCTGTTGATAATTTCTCTCGTTTGGATTGGTATTTTTTTGATATTGACTTATGCCCAAAAGTAACTTTTTTTCCACCACCACTTCTGATTACTTTTTCACCGCACCCCTCCTAGTTTCTCAGAGAGAGAATTATAATGAGGTTCTAAAAAAAAAAAACAGTTGAAAAACAAGTCCTACAAGTTATCATTTTCTACTATAGGACTTGTCATTACAGGCTGTTAAGGTCATTATTAGAATTTTTTGGTAATTATATTTTTCTGTGAGTCTTGATTGTAATTCCCGCTTTCTCATATCCCATTCATTTTTTATTTATTCTTCCATTTTTGTCCTTACTCCTCGTGCTTCTTTGTTTACTGTTGTCCTTATTTGCCTACGTCCTACGTCCCATGTCCTATCAGTGCACATGTCGATTTGGGGTAATGTTATTTTTATTTATATATATTTATTCATTTTATTTGTTGTTATATTATTTTATTTCCTTACATTACTTATTTTATATAATTTTTATTAAAATAATTTGTTTTGTATTTACAATTTTTCCAATAAAATATTTATTTTTTTATTTGTCTAATTTTAATTTTAATATTTTTTTTGAATCATTACATTATATGCGTATACTATTTTTATTTTCTAATTATAGTTTTATTTATTTTTTTAACTATTACCACGTTAAAAACATATAATATACTCCTCGATCCTTAATATAGGACCTAATTATTGAGTTAATTTTGGTCCTAAATATAAGACCTATTTCTCATATTTTTTAATTTTCTCTAAATTACCCTTATGGATATTCTCTCAACTATAATCAAGTAGAAGATGACGAGATGATATTAAGAAAGATGATTATGGTATTTTTAGAAAAACATATCATATTTCTCATAATTAACTAACTTACTTAACTTCCTTAATCTAATCAAATTAGTTAAATAGGTCTTATATTAAATATTGGAGGAGTAAAACATTACTATTCAATAAATTTTATGTCTTTTTTAGTCATTTTACATTAAAATTATAACCTATCTATATGCAATTGGATTTTAATCACATGTTTAGGGAAGCAAATCATTGTGTTCCTATTGATTGGCTCATATTAAGAACATCAATTAGATGCTGAAGCCTTTTCCTGATTACTTCCTAACGGAGTGTAGAAACTTGCTTTTAGATTATTATGTGTTAATCAATCTCTTATTTATAAGCGTTTTATGCGATGTTCACGATCTTAGCTTTATTTTTTTTATTTTTCTTTATTAACTTTAGGGTTATTCTAATATTAGTTTTCTTATAATTTCTTACGATTTTATTTTACTTGACTGACTGTTTGTAACTTTTAAACTTATATTATTTAATATTATTTTATCTTTTTCTTTTAAAAAAAGGTGATCTTTGTATTAAAAGGAAAAAAATGAAAAAACATATTCTAGTTTTATTAATCGTGGAGAGTACTAATTCTCAGTTGCCAAAAGAAAAAAAGAGAGTTATTCAACGTCTCCAAAATATCTATAATTTAAAATTGCATGCATAAGTTTTAAAAAGTTATGAGATGGTTCATGTTATCACCAAAAAAACGTAAAAATAAGATAGTTCGATCATGTTGTTGTAAAAGTTAATGTTATTTAACCAAAATATCCTTAATTAATTAAAAAGCATGTCAAATGGTCGACTTATAATTACTGTTACTAATAAAGATCAACATGTACGTAAAACTGTAAAAAAACGCTTGTGGTAATTATTTTATCAAAAATAACAAATTAAAATATGCTTTTTTAAGTTCATTGTCTGAGGCTGAGCCTCTGTATGTGTGTGATTGTTTTACATACTACCTCCGGTCTTTAATATAAGACCCTGTTTGATTTTTATTTTGATCTTAAATATAAGATCCCAATCCACTTTGTCTCTCATATTTATATATTTTTTTCCAAAGTAGTCCTTCTAACAATGATAGTTCTAGTCAATACACTTGATTTGTAAGGATATTTTAGAAAAAACAACACCTATTTAGGACAAATAACTAACTCAACTTACTTCTTTAATCTCTTCTAATTAGTCAACTGGCTCTTATAATTAGGACCAGAGATAGTATATTACAAAGAGGAATCAGCCATTGCATATTACATACATTAATACAATTTAAACTATTTGAACGTTAATTACCAGAAAGTTGGTCCCTAAACTTCCATCCTCGAATTCATTATTGTTTATAAAAAGAAAATGAAATTAGTCCAGAATATAGAAGCATTGTTGGTTTTTTTTTATAACAAAAATTTGTACCATTTAAAAGCTTAGCGTTGGGATAGCTAGAAACGTTGTTCCTACACCCAGAAAAACTAGAAACTGTTTCGGATACCCAAAAAAAAAAATAAAAAGAAACGTTGTTAGTAAATATAAGGAAGAAGATGAATAATTATGTTTGTTTTTGCAGCAGAAAGGGGAGAATACTAAAATCACGCTGTTCAAAATATTAATTAAATTTAATTAAAAATAATAAATATGTAAGATATAATATGTATTTTTACAATTATACTTTTGTTTGTAAAGAGCACAAGACAAATAATGAGTGAAAATTTGTTACAAAAAGGTAATAAGTGACATATATTTAATAGGAATAAAAAATAAAAATATTAATTTAAAATTTTAGACACAAATTATTATATTGAGGGACATGAGATAGACCTCATAAAACACATCTAGAAATATTACATTCGGTCTTTAATATAAGAGTTAGTTTGATTTTAATTTGATTCTAAATATAAGATTTCAATCTACTTGGTCTTTTATATTTTTTTTAAAATAATTTTTGTAATAATTGTATATGTTAAAAGTTTTATCAAGTAATAGTTTCAGCTAATCACATGATTTGTAAAGATATTTGAGCAAAAATAACATATTTATTAAAAAAAAAAACTAACTTTATAATTTTTTTAATATATTTAAATTAGTTAATTAATTTTTATATTAAGCCGCGACGACAGTAGCAGTGAGGATTGCCTAAAGCAAATACAGCAAAAACACAGAAAGAATGGGAACTAAAATATGTCCGAGAAATCAGAAGCAGGACACACTCTCCGGGGAGAAAAACCGGATAACGTTCTTTCAGTTTTTCTTCTTTCTTTCATGGTGCTGCTGCTGCTGGTGCTATCATCTCACTAACCACTCGGTGGAGCGCATTTTATGCGCTTAGATTTCCACTCTCTTCAATCCCTTTTCATTTCCAATGGTTTCTTCTTGGCCTCTCTCTCAGCCTACCAGTCACAGCTTCTTCTCTAAAACCCAGGTTCAGTTTCCTTCTCTTGTTCTTCTCTTTCCATAACTCTCAATCTCAAGTTTTTCATCAATTTTGGGTTTCACTTGAAGCAGTTGAGAGGATTTGGCCATGGCTCTCGGCGACCCAGCTTCTCATTTTGCCGCGACTCCGAAAGCAAAGTTCGACCCATCAAAGCTTTGGTTGATTCAGCCCCATTCCCCTTATTCCAACCTCCCAAAGTTGAAGAGTCGTCGTCTGAGGTAAATTCCAAACCTTATTTCACTTATCCTTTCATCGGTTGTGCCCAATGGCACGGCACTTTAACGGCGGAGCTGTGTCTGACACACGTATCGCAAAATACTTCAACTTGCATTTATACATTTGAGCATTATAGAGTTTGTTGTGTTTATTCGTGCTAGTATCAGGCTTTCTCAGTTGTTGATATGGAATAATAAGTGGGACCTGTCTGACTCCAGTAGCTCAGAGTGAGTGAATTAAGTTTTATTGTTGTTAGCAAGTTAACTTTTTCCACCATTAGTTCTTGGGAGTCTTTAATTTTGATACAACTAGACTGTGGTTTTGTCCTTTGTACGAAGAGCCACGCTATTTATGCCATGACTAGCATGGTATAGCTTCCTATAGATTTTATACTATATAGATATAGATTTTGGGAAGCGACTAGAAGCCCTGGCTGGACTATACTGTCTCAGTTAGCAGAGTAAATTTTGTTGCCATGTGTTGTTTAGGGATCTTCACTTTTAGTTAAAATTGAGTTATGGCTTCATGGAAATTCTTTCGTTCCTGCAGTTGGAGCCAGCAGACCCTGATTTCTACAAGATAGGTTATATTCGAAGCATGCGAGCTTATGGAGTTGAGTTTAAGGAAGGGCCTGACGGTTTTGGTGTGTATGCTTCTAAAGATGTTGAACCTCTTCGCCGACCCAGGGTGTGTAGCTTTTAGCATGTGTACAGCTGTAATTTCTGGCACATGAAAAACTAGCTGTACATATAGCAAAATTCAGGGAACCTATGATCTGGCCATAGTCCAAATTCATTTTCCATATTGATGTCAATTGTACTTGCTTGAGCAGGTTATAATGGAAATTCCTCTTGAATTGATGTTAACCGTGCGTCAGAAGCTCCCATGGATGTTCTTCCCTGATATAATTCCAGTGGGACATCCAATATTTGATATTATCAACTCAACAAATCCAGAGGTACTTTCAATTCTTTTTCAAGACAGTAATTCAGAGCTAAAATGAACATACTGAAGTTTTTGTTTGTTTATATATTATAAAGCAGCCATATCTTAAAGTGGCCATGTTAATTTTAAGATCAAACAGAGAATCTAACGTAAAATTTAGATTGGTTGTCAAGGAGATTCATGGTATTTTATATTGGAAGTCTTACAGACTTTCAATGTGTGACAAATGTGTCATACCCCAAATCTGAACCTTTTAAACTCCTCATTCAATGAACTCCCTCCAAAGAAAATCACAATAGATCTCATCCTATATTTGTAGCACCCTGAACTATTATTCTTGTAAAAATCTGTATTTCTTAATACTGGGTTTTAGTCTTCCATTCATAATTTATTTTGGCTTCTTTCCTAATATAGATCGGTCATTAATTTTCAAGTTAAGCTTTTTCCCCTTTAAGTCCTTTATAAACTTCCTACTTTTAAATATGTATGGATACATGTCATTGGCGTATGGTGTGTGGCATCCATACTTGACATGCTGACATCCCTAAGTGTGTCCTTCCTTCATAGTTTGTGTATGACTGTAACATCTTCTTATCAGTTTATCACTTATGTTATTGATTGACTGATTGTTGAATATGGTCTGTCTCAGTTCCATGAGCAATAGCACCTGCGAAGTTAAAATATGCTCCTGCTGGTTCAGGTTATCTTAATTCTAATTGCATGACTCTTTTGTGGCAGACAGATTGGCACCTTAGGTTAGCATGCCTGCTGTTATATGCAATGGACTGTCAGGAAAACTTTTGGCAGTTGTATGGTGACTTCTTACCCAGTGCTGATGAGTGCACTAGCTTACTTCTGGCGAAAGAGGTGAGTACCACCTGTTTTATATTATTAAACCTTTATTTGATAATATTTTAAATTAGATGAATCCCTTTCTTGAGTTAGTGTGAATATGACAATCGTGCTGAATACTGATTAAAAATTGACGTCAGTGTCTGATGGATGATTGTAATTCTGAAAATTAAAGAGAAGAGGGAGAAAGGGGAATGGGAAGTGAGGACAGAGAGATTGAGAGAATAGGAGAGAGAGAGTAGGAGTCAGAGAAAGAGAAGAGTCAAGAAGGTTCTGAGTAATGCGCAAGTTTATTCAGCATTTATCTCAGGCAATACAATCCGAGTATTGTTCTATTTAGAGGCCTAGGTCCCTAACGGCTAGTTCTTAACCGTCACACCTAACTTCTATATTATTATGCAACAGTGCCACACTTTTAACATGCTGGATTGGAAGTTTTTAACGTTTCAAGTTTTCTTTTCCATTTATTCTTTTCTGCATTGATGTTGAATCATGTCATCACACTGAAAATTAATTTTTGTTACTTATCCACGTTGTTTGATAAGTGGGCCTATCTTTTGGACACTCTGCTTTAATTGATTCCTCTTTTCAGTTGCATTTGATGGGTGGCTTCATCAATGATTTGAATGTAAGAGTCGTGCCAGCTAATCTTACTATGAGATTGCATTTGG